GTTTCGTCGAAAATGTATTTTTCTTCCATTCCCGTTTCGTCGAAAATGTATTTTTCTTCCATTCCCGTTTCGTCGAAAAAAAAATTCTAATTAATCAATGAAGTTATAGATAATATATCATTTGATGAGATTTTTTCGTCATACTAATTACGAATAGTGCCTAATTACTCGTAGATAAGTTTGCCAAAAAAAAATTAAAACAATTGTGTTTCAAATTTTATCTTGTGTATAGCAAAAAGTATCAAGTAATAAAGTTGGTTTATTACGTTTACTTTCAACAATAGATAGCATCGTTTTATGTAATAATGAATGAATATAACAAAAAAAATGAATTTTCCCTTTTTACTCCACATATATATACTTTTGCAAAATTACTGATTACTAGTATAGCGATATCAATTAGTTTCTTTTTAAGGAAATAGTTTAAGTCAATCAAAGAAACTGAACTTATCACTTTGATTATACTTTTTTTCACTACAATTTAATTTTTCGACGAAACGGGAACGGTTGTTTTTTCATTTTCGACGAAACGGGAATGACGAGAAAAAAATATATCAAATTTTTCGACAAAACAGGAAAATCAATTAAGTTTTCGACGAAACGGGAATCTACCTGTTCTTTCGAACAATGAAGAAGACAGGTCTCTAGTTTTTTCCGTTAAAAAGTTATGAGCATTTTGTCTAATGACCTTCTTTTAATTAAAGACGATTTAATTCTTCATGTATCTTCAATTTTAATCATATTGAAAATCAGTTGATTTTCTTTATCTTTCTAATGGTTGTCTTCATTCTTTATCAACATTAAGTATTAAGGTTCTGCATGAAAAAAACTAGAATAAATAAATCATTTTTATTTTGTAGAAAAATTTTCCTAAATTGAAATAGTTCCATTACGTTGTCGAATGATAAATTTTGAAGAATTGAAATTATATCTATCAATAACAAGATTTTACTCAATTTATGTTGATGATATTCAATTATATGATCAATTTCTTATTTACATGATGATTTCGAAAATTTTGTTCAGTTCAACAATTCTTATCAAGGTGACAACATATTTCAGAAAGTTCGACAGTTGATGATTTATGATAAAATTGTTTTTGAACATAAATTATTTAAACTCATCTCTGAAGATTTTCCTTTTCTTCACTTCTTATATTTATCTAATAGTCACCCACAAAAAGAGAAGCCACATTCATCAACAGTAATCACATTTCCATATCTTATATCTCTCAATTTACAATATGCATATGTGGACTATGCTAAACTATTTTTCTTGAAAAATAATGTTCATCTACCTCTTTTGTTAAGTCTTCGTGTCGAATATAAATCACTCACAACGATAACAAATAATTTCACCAATAATTGAACGTATTTCAATTTCGATAGATTGAGAAGTCTTGATGTATGTCAATCATTTGTTTGCCCAGAAAATTTTCATCAATATTTTCCTTTGTTATAAGTTATGTCAATGAAAGAAAATACTTAAAAAAAAATACAATATTTTATTTAATCTGAATTCTGTTGTAACAAAGAATAGAGAGTACAAATACAATAATAACTTTTAATTCTCTTCTATACATAGAAAATTACTGATTTAGTTCCATATGATGATATGTTAATGATGTTTAAAACACATTTTGATGTGAATTTCTTAGAAGAAAATATTTTGTCATTATAATCGTATGGCAAAAAAGGCGATGTTACTCAAAACAATTCGAAGAAATTAAATAGATACTCGATTGATTAAGTACCGATCAATTTCATTTTTAATAGTTAGTGAATTTTAAAATAATCATGTGATTTGAAAAGATACAACTTTCCAATTGTTCATGACGATATTTATAAACTCTTTTAAATAAAAGTTGCTTATCGCAATTGAAAATGTTCTTGAATAGAATATTGAATGCAATAACTTATTGTTTTCAGATATGCTGTATCTCATAACTTGAATGTCTGCTATTGAAAAAGAACATGACTAAAGTTCAGTGATTGTAATGCAAATGAATTTCGTTCGCAAGCTATTCTGTGATAATCATCCAATTGGAAATCTATTGCTGTACCTCATTCGAATTGTTTTGCACTGAGAAGACTTTAAATCTCAACCAAATATTTTATATTCTATCCAAATAAATCTTATTAATAGACGACAGTTGTCAGTTTTATATAACATTCACATATCCGATGACCACGCATACATCAAGAGTTCCCGATTAGGTAGGTCAAAGGAGAAGCTTTCCCTCTACTCTCCAAATTTCGAACTTTCTGCTATATGCTTTGTACAATAGTATCTGTGGAATTGGTAACGTGCAGACCAGCAGAAAATCTCTACATTTACTGTAATAAAAATTAACGAAAGATAGTTTCTGGTAAATTTGTCGAAGAATATTCTGAACGCAAATACAGAAGAGCAGATAAGATTGATTCAAACGAACTATTTTGGGTTTATACCAAATACTTTTTGGATAAACATCAGTTTTGACTCTGTCAAACAATTGAATCCATTTCTGATCAATATTAAATTAAAGAAATATTCGAATCAAGACATTCGAAAATAGCAAAATTGAAAAGTTTTGTGACGAAAGTTACATTTAAAATATCGATAAGATCAAATAATACTTGGTGAAAGCCTATATTTCATTAGGATATTATTCATTCTTGGCTGTTTATTCAATTGTATACCAATTTTATTTAATAAATTCGAATTCAATACTATTAATGAAAAAGTTTTTAGTTCTTTCGTGTTATTAAAATAAGTACTTAAGACACGTCTTTAATTGTTTCCCAGTTGTGTATGAGTTTTTGTATAAAATCAAAATAATTTGGTCAAAATATTAGTGTAAGTTGAATCGAATGATTTTAAAGGAACTCATAGTAGATCCCAAGTGTTTAGACAAAAACTGTTAATCTAAAACATATTCTCTCTTTCAACATACGATAGTAAAGTTTTTCAAATAAAAAACTATAGAATCGATGGAACATTGAATACATCGTGGATTATTTTATTCGA